TTAACACTTTACAAGGTCTTTTGCAGCAGATTTGCCTAATGCAATGTTGTTGTTAGGTGCCGTCAAGTCATCTCCAACTCATAGCTAACTCATGTGCAACAGAACGAAACACTGCCTGGTCCTATGCCAGCCCCACAGTCCTTGCTATACCTGAGCCCATCATTGCAGCCACTGTGTTGAGGGTCTTCCCCTTTTCCGTTGTCCCTCCACTTTGCCAAGCATGATATCCTTCTCCAGGTGATGGTCCCTTCTTACAACATGACCAAAGTAGGTGAGATAAAGTCTGGCCATTCTCGCTTCTAAGGACCATTCTAGCTGCACTTATTCCAGGACAGATTTATCAGTTCCTTTAGCAGTCCACGTACTTTCAGCATTTTTCACTGATACCACAACTCAAAAGCATGGACTCTTCTTCCTTTTTCATTGTTCAGCTCTCACATGCATATGAGGTGACTGAAAATACCCTGGCTTGTGTCAAGTGCACCTTAGTCTTCAGGGAAACATCTCTGCTCTTCAGCACTTGAAAGAGGTCTTTTGCAGCAGATTTGCCCAATGCTATACGACATCTGATATCTTGACTGCTGCTGCCATTGGTGTTGATTGTAGAACCAAAGAGTATGAAGTCTTTGACAACTTCAATCTTTTCTCCATTAATCATGATGGTGCTTATTGGTCTCATTGTGAGGAGTTTTGTTTTCTTTATATTGAAGTGTAATCCATATTTCAGACTGTAGTCTTCAATCTTTATCAGTGTTTCAAGTCATCCTCACTTTCAGTGAGCAAAGTTGTGTCGTCTGCATAACGTAGATTATTAATGATTCTTCCTCCCATCCTGATGCCACGTTCTTCTTCATTATTTGCTCAGCATACAAATCACATAATAATCTTCTTTTCAGATTATTTATTCAGCATACAGATTGAATAAGTACGGTGAAAGGATACAAAACTGACACACTCCTTTCTTGATTTTAAACCATGCTGTGTCCCCTAGTTCTGTTCAAACGACAGCTTCCTGGTCTGTGTACAAGCTCCCTCATGAGCACAATTAAGTGTTGTTGAATTCCCATTCTTCTCAATGTTATCCATAATTGGTTATGATCCACACAATCGAACAGGTAGGGGGAGGCCCAGGAAGTGAGCAGAGCAGTTGTAACAACTAAGGGAGACGAACTTCCTGTCGGTTTGGCGTCCTGTGGTGGCTTGCATGTTTCTGTGAAGCCGAAGGCTGTGCCAGCAGGGAGGCCCATGGTGGACCAGTTTTGGTAGAGTTTCCAGACTGAGGTAGACTCAGAAGAAAGAAGAGGCCATCCACTTCTCAAAGAATTAGCCAGTAAAAACCTAATGCAATACATTGGTAATTTCTTCACTGCTGCTTCCATGGGTACTGATTGTGGATCCAAGTAAAATGAAATTCTTGACAACTTCAATTTTTTCTCTGTTTATCTTGATGTTGCTTATTGGTCCTGTTGTAAGGACTTTTGTTTTCTCTTTGTTGAGGTATAATCCATATTGAAGGCTGTAGTCTTTAATCTTCATCAGTGAGTGCTTCAAGTCCTCTTCACTTTCAGGAAGGAAGGTTGTGTCATCTGCATATTACACATTGTTCATGAATCTTCCTCCAGTCCTGAAGCCATGTTCACTTTCATATAATCCAGCTTCTTGGATTATTTGCTCAGCCTACAGATCACATAAGGATGGTGAAAGGATACTACTCTGACGCACACCTTTTCCAATTTCAAACTGACAGAATCCCTTGTTCTGTTTGAACAACTGCCTCTTAGTCTATGTACAGGTTCTGCATGAGCACAGTTAAGTATTCTGGAATTCCTATTCTTTGCAATGTTATCCATAATTTGTTATGATCCACACAGTTGTATACCTTTGTGTAGTCAGTAAAACACAGTTAATATCTTTCTGTATTCTCTGCTTTCAGCCAAGACCCATCTAACATCAGCAATGATATCCCTCCTTTCATGTTGTGGTGCAGTGAATTACTTAATTACTTCCGGCCAGTCCTCCATTTTATAATGTATTGTAAATCCTAGACTCTATGCCTGTGGGTATGGTCCCATTTTGGAGTGAATTGTCCATGATGTTAAGGGGGCCGGATTAGGGTGGGATATATCTGGAGTCACTGCCTTATTGGAGGGTGTGACTCAAGTCACCACCCTTCACACACTTGCACAACCTTGCTTAAGTAAGTGGGGTTTCCTTGAGGGTATCATCTGCATCCAATATATATGAGTGCTCTGGCTAAGTTATCTGTCTTGCTCTGAATCCTGCGTCTGGCTTATCATCATCTGACCTCTGGTTCTTGGAACTTGAGCCAGTAGCCTATTGTCTGACCTAATTCACCAGCTTCTGCAGCCTTGTGAGCCAGCCAGCAGCCTGTTGTCTGACCTGCTGATGTGGTTTCATCAGTCCTTGCAGCCTCATGAGTCAGGATAAGCCTCAGACTGAAGTAGATCCACGGATTTGGGACTTGCCAAACTCCACAACTGCATGAGCCATTTACTTGATGGTTCATGAACTACGTGTAAGACACTGAAGTGAATTACGGAAACCAAAGACAGGAGGGAGAGTATTGAAGGGAGGAGGAGGAGTTGACACTAGAGATGATGGAGTGGTATAGCAGTTTGGAAAAGTTTGGACATTTGGGACATCGTTACCCTCCACCTCATAGGAGCCAGCTTTGTGCTGATCAACCTAAAAGAAATTATTCATGCATACATACTCTTCTGAATCCAGTTCGAATTTCTGGCAGTTCCCTGTTGATAGACTGCTACAACCATTTTCAGCAAAATTCTACTTGCACGTGATATTAATGATATTGTTTGATAATTTCCACAATATATTGGATCACCTTTCTTTGGAATGGGCACGAATATGGATCTCTTTCACTGTTGGCAGGTAGCTGTCTTCCAAATTTCTTGGCATACATGAGTGAACGCTTCCAGCATTGCATCCATTCGTTGAAACATCTCAACTGGTATTCTATCAATTTCTAGAGCCAATGCCTTCAGTGCAGCTTAGACTTCTTCCATCAATACCATCAGTTCTTGACCATATGCTCCTGAAATGGTTGAACATTTATTAATTCTTTTTGGTACAATGACTGTGTATTCTTTCCACCTTCTTTTGATACTTTCTGCATCATTCAATTTTTTGCCCATAGACTCCTTCAATAATGCCACTAGAAGCTTGAATTTTTTCTTCAGTTCTTTTGGCTTGAAAAATGCCAAGTGTGTTTTTCCCTTTTGGTTTTCTAATTCCAGGTCTTTGCATATTTCGTTACAATATTTTACTTTGTCTTTTCTAGTTGCCCTTTGAAATCTTCTGTTCAGTTCTTTTATTTCATCATTTCTTCCATTTGCTTTAGCTACTCTCCATTCAAGAGCAACTTTCAGAGTCTCTTCTGACATCCATTTGGTCTTTTCTCCCTTTCTTGTCTTTTTAATGACATTTGGCTTTCTTCACGTGTGATGTGCTTAATGTCATCCCACAACTCTTCTGGTCTCTGGTCATTAGTGTTCAATGAGTCAAATGTATTCTTGAGATGGTCCGTAGACTCCCCCTTCAGAATCATAGTTTCCCTCCTTGAGTAGAATTGTTACTGCTTGTTTACTTTTTTCCTTTTGGAAGGAAGGCTGGGCAATCTACTTCCGTAGTGATACTGCCTCGGAAACCCAAGGAGAGGTCGCTGTGAGTCGGTCCGACTCAACGGCACATGACAACAACAACAACAACAGACCTTAAGTTCCTTGAGGGCAAAGACTGTGCCTTATTCTATGCCTCACCCATAGAACTTAGCAGAGTGCACCCCATAGAGCTCAAGGCAGATGAGTAAACTGATGCTTAAATCACAATCTCTGAGGTTTTGAAACAGGTGTTTCCAAGGTGCAATAGGAGACAGATAAGGAAGGCCCCACCTCTCCACCTGAGCAGTCAGGAGCTTGAAAAGAGACACCCTATTGATGATGCTTGTCCTCAGATTGAGGGATACAAAGGAAAATCCTATCAAATGCAGGGAATCTCTTAAAGACCCTCCAGTGCTCTGGGTTTCCACTAAAGTGAAGAGATAACACCCAGTGTGCTTCCACAGATCACTAGAGAGAAGAGGGAAAAACAAAGAATCACACAGGTGAAGCCTTGGCCTCTCTGTCTACATTTCAGCCATTCGAGACTTCTTCCAGTTCCTGAAATGTATAATAATCTTCCCATCTCTGGGCCTTTGCACATTTTCTTCCCTCAGCCTTAGAATGCTTTTCTCTTCTTCTTCCCTTTGACTAACTCCTACGGTTTCACTTTCGGAACAGGAAGGAGGCTTCCCTCACCCCACGAGAGTTAGGGTAAATTCTATTGCCACATGCTCCCACAGCAGCCTGTACTTCCTCTTCCTGACCCTCACCCCATTGTACTGCTCTGTTTAGGGGCTGCATCCTCCAATGACCTCTAACTCAGCAACAGCAAGGACATCATCTTGTTCCTGCCTATTCCCAGGGCTTGGCGCCTAGAAGGTACTCAAAAATGCTTCTTACTGACACTGAATTTTAGTATTTACACAACTTCCTAATGTTAAAGAGAAAAAAAAAAAGTCACATGATAAAAATAAATGAGCTAATAAGCCACGAAAAGACATGGAGAAACCTTAAATGCATACTTCTAAGTGAAAGAAGCCAGTTATATAATGCATGGGTACAGTATCTAGTATATGTACTGTATGATTCCAAATATGTGACATTCTCGTAAAGGTAAAACTATACAGACCATGAAAAAAGATCAGTGGTTGGCAGAGAGTCAATAGCAGGGAGCAGAGAGAGTAGGTGGAGCCCAGGACATTTTTAGGGCATTGAAACTATTCTGTGTGATACTATAATGATAGACACATGACATTAAGCCTTGGTCAAAACCCACAGAACCGTATAACACAAAGAGTGAACCTTAATGTAAACTATGGACTTTAATTAATAATGATGTATTAATATCAGTTGATCAATTTTAACAAATGGACCATAGGGACAAACCAAACTAAACCCATTGCCAATTGAGTAGATTTTGATGCATAGCGACCCTATAGGACAGAGTAGAACTTCCCCATAGGATTTCCAAGGCTGTAATCTTTATGGATTAAGATGCACCTGACCCAAGCCATGGTATTTTCCATTGCCTCATATGCACAAAAAAGTTGGACAATGAATAAAGAAGACAGAAAAATTGATGCATTTGAATTATGGTGTTGGTGAAGAATATTGAATATGCCATGGTCTGCCAGAAGAACAAACAAACCTGTCTTGGAATACTCCTTGGAAGCAAGATGGCAGAACTTTGTCTCACATTTGTTCATGTTACCAAGAAGGACCATTCCCTGGAGGATATCATGCTTAGTGAAGTAGAGGGTCAGTGACAAAGAGGAAGGCCCTCAATGAGACGGATTGACATGGTGGCTGCAACACTGGGCTCAGCAATGACTGTGAGGATGGCACAGGACGGGCCTTGTTTCGTTCTGTTGTCCACACAGGGTCTCATGTGTTGGAACCAACTCCATGGCACCTAACAACAACAGCAACAATCTTTACAGAAGCAGACTGCCACATCTTTCTGCACAGCAGCTGGAGTGTTCAAATTACCTATCTTTAGGTTAGCAGCCAAGTGCTTGAACCACTGTGCCACTAGGCCCCCACCATAGGAATCCAAGATGCTAATAATAGGAGAAATAGTGGGCAGGGCTGAGAGTATATGGGAACTCGTACTTCCTGCACAAGTTTTCTGTAAATTTAAAACTGCTGTAGAAAAATAAAATCTATTTAAAAAACAAACAAGGCACAGAGGTAAGAGCGTGAGTTTTCCAATGGCCTCGAGCTATATAATACATGGGCACAGTGTCTAGTATATGTACTGTATGATTGGCAGAGCCATACCTGAGGCACAGCAGACGTGTGTGCTCAGCTCGCTTCTTTCCTTCCGGAGCAAGTGATGATCAATGCGGGCGTTGGTTTCTAACATTATCTGTGCTTTCATTTCTTCTAAAATGTGCAAAAGGATGGAACTCTCCCAGGAGCATTTTAGATTTGTTTAGGAACCGAAAAAAAAAAAAAAAAAAAAAGGCACTGCTTTGAAGGAGTAGAAAATAGGGTGCTCTAAAATTTTTCCCCAACTTTTTATTTTGGAAACTTTCAAATCTATAGAAAAATTGCATGATTAGGACAATAAACAACAATATAATTAATCTAGATTCACCAATCGTTAACATTTTCTCTCTCTCTCTCTCTCTTTCTCTCTCTCTCTCTCTATATATATATGTATATAATATATAAACAAAATAAAACATTGCTGTGGAGTCAATTCTGACTCATTGTGACTCTGTAGAGCAAAGCAGAACTGCCCCATAGGGTTTCCAGGGCCGTAAATCTTTATGGAGGCAGACTGCCTCATCTTTCTCCTGCAGAGCAGCTGGTGGGTTCAAACTACCAAGCTACTCACTGACCTTTTGGTTAGCAGTCAAGTGCTTTAATCTCTGTGTGTGTGTGTGTGTGTGTACTCTATACATACATACACTCAGTACATACACATACTTTTTTCTTTTGCTGACCAATTCAAGAGTCAATTACAGAATTACATTGTTACATTTTACCCCTAAATACTTCAACATATATCTCCTAAGAACAAGAGTATTCTCCCACACAAACACAGCTTAATTACCACACTCTTACAATACGGTTAGTTAACATACATCCATATTCAAATATCCTCAATTATATATATATGTTCAAATATCCTGAATCTAGAATAGTTCCCAGACTACTTTATTTTTTATAATATTGACATTTTTGAAGAGTCCAGGACAGTTGTTTCGCACAATGTCCCTCAGCTTGGGTTTATCTTATTACTTCCTCATAATCAAATTCAGAATGAACATTTTTGGCAAGAGAACTACTTGGGTGATGCAGCAGATGCCTTCTCATTGCAATGCCTCCATTTTGGATATGTGGAAGTCCTAGAAAGAAGACCTTGAGGACATGTCATACCTACATGGGGCAGGGGAGTTCATATGTGTCCATCTATGTACAAGATCCACAGAGACCCTAGGGCTGGCCAGTAGGACAAGGTCTAGGGAGCCGATAGGTAAAGGCCATGACTTTAGTCTTGAAGCATTCGCTCCAGCCACCTACTGGACGGGGACCTCAGCTAACTGTAGTTGCCGACTGTAGGGCACTGCTGCTGGGTACTAGGGCCTGTGGGTAAGAACTTTTCCTTCCCTCCAGGAGCCCCAAGTTTCCAGGGGCAGCCAGCTCCTGAGTGCGTGGGTCACCTGCTGCTGCAACCACTCCCTGCTGATGTAGCTGCAAGGGAAACAGGAAAAGGGTCAATGGGGTCACACCAGAGGGGAGGGAAAGCAGAGGGACAGGGTACAACAACAGAGGGAACCAGAATTAATTAGAAAAAGAAAAGGGAAAACAGACCGAAGGATTAGGAGACAGAGGGGACACACATCAGAGAAGGAAGAAACAGAGAGAAACCGAAGGAGACTCACGGACACACAGAGAAAAGAAAGGAGGAGCTGATGAACGTCACTAACAAGTTTCACGTTGGCGTGTGAGGCTATTTGGCTTTTGGCTTTTGGAAAGTGAAGGTTTGTGTTTACACCAGTCAGACACAAAGGACACGAGGGCTTCCCCCAAGGGGTTGTGAGGGGTCACCTGTTCATCCTATACTTTTCCAAACACAGAACATCTCCTTTGTGTCCCAGCAGCCAGGTCTCTGCCAGAAGTCTGCTGCTATAGCTCACTGTCTCCCCTTTTCTCCCAGGGCTGCCAGCAGATAGGGAAGCCCACTGTGACTCATCCAGGGTGACGAGGAAGGGCAGGAGAGAGGAGACAGAATGGAGAGGGCCCCAGCGAAGAAGGCACACAAAACAGACATCCCTCTGTGTACGTGGGAGGATGACGTCCCAGGAGCCACCCAGTGGACGGGGACTCAGCTAATAATAACCCGCCAGGGTTTTCTCACACGACAAGGGGTGGAGGGAGAGAGAGGCTGCTCAGCCCCTAGACTGAGTGGGTAGACAAGGGGCTCCTGATAGCACCTACGGTTCTGCCAGGGCAACCCCCTCCGGATGCTTACAGGGAAGGGCTACCCTCAGGACAGAGGGATGGATAGAAAGGAGGACCTTCTGGCAACAGTGTGCACTGTCTGCACTTTTCTCTGGCAGAAAGAAAACAGAAAGTGAGTAGTCACAAGCCAAGACTTCGGTCTTGGGGCTTTTTATTTATTTATCTTTGGCACCACAGCAAAACCCAGGAGTCCCTAGGTGGTGCATATGGGTAATGCACTCAGCTGCTAACCCAATGGTTAGGGGTTCAAGTCCACCAGAAGTGCCCCGGAAGAAAGGCCTGGTGATCTCCTTCTGGAAAATCAGCCACAGCAAACCCTACAGAGCACAGTCCTACTTGGACACACGTGGGCGCCAGGAATTGAACCCAAGTGAAGAAGCCCCTTTCTACCCTCTGCTCTTGGCCAAAGAATAAAGCCCAGTCCCTGAGTCTTACTGAGGAGATTGAGGTGGGTCAAGGGGTGGCTCAGGACATCCCGCAGACTCTTCAGCCATTCCTGCTGCTCTTTATCGGTGGGGCAGGTGAAGACAAATCTCCGCTGGGGGGTCACAATGGTGAGGCCGGCTTTCCAGCGATTCCCTCGGATGCCCTTGGGCAGGTCTTCATAGACCTCATAGCCCTGTTCATTGGTCCCAATAAAAACCTGGCCCTGCTCAAAGGCGTCCTGAAAATACATACAAGGTGCATGGTTATCAGAGGCCCTGCCTTGACTTGGGGGCGCCTGCAGCCCTGGTAGCTCCTGAGGTGTTTTTGTAAATGGATGTGAAGGCCCCTCCTGGGATTTCTGCTGATTTAGACCCAGAATTTGAAAGGTTAAAAGCCTAAAATAAATCACACACATCATCTGTTAAAATAATGTTGTTAGCAGCTGTCAAGTCTGGTCAGATGCATGGTGACCCCACACACAATGGGAGGAAAGGCTGCCCAGTTCCCACAGGATCAGTTGTAGATTGGACTTTTGTGATCCATAGGGTTTTCATTAGCTGATTTTCAGAAGCCAGTTGCCAGCCCTTTCTTCCTAGTCACTCTCACTCTGGAAGTTCTGTTGAAACTTGTTTGCATCATAACTGACAGACGAGTGGTGATTGCACATGAAGTGGGTGCACGGGCTGGGACTTGAACCCAGGCCTCCCACATGGAAGGTGAGAATTCTACCACTGAACACCACTGCCTTCTTGCTAAAATCATATTTTGTGATTTATGGAGCAGTTACTATGCACCACAGGTTTAAGTGCTATGTACAGGTATATGTATGTCAGAGATATTATTTCCAGATCACCACAAGAAAGCATTATCACAACCAAGTGTGCAACATGAATTTTTGGGGTTCCCAGAGCATACAAATTTTATGTTTACACTACACTATATTAGTGTAGTGTAAACAAAAAAAAAAACAAATTTTATGTTTACACTACACTATATTCTGGGAGCTCTGGTAGCATAGTGGCTACGGCACTTGACTGCTAACCAGAAGGCTGGCGGTTCAAATCCACCAGCCACTCCTCGGAAGGAAGATGGGGCAATCTACTTCCGTAGTGATACTGCCTCAGAAACCCAAGGAGGGGTCGCTATGAGTCGGGGCTGACTCGACGGCAAAACAACAACAACAACAACAACAACACTATATTCTATTAAGTTTGCAACAGCATTATGAAAAGGTTTGAAATATAGTGAGAATTAACCAGAATATGACAGAGACATGAAGGGAGCACATGCTGTTGGAAAAACAGCACCAACAGACTTGCTCCACACAGGGTTACTACAAACTTCAAATTGTAAAAAAAAAAAAAAAAAAAAAACCCACAGTATCTGCAGAGCACAATAACATGAGGTGAGCCTGTAGTAACTCATTTAATCACCATGACAACCTCTGAAGAGGACACTGCTCTCAAACCTATTTTTCAGAGCAGGAAACTGAGGCATGTGGCCCAGGGCATGCCACTTTTTAAAAATGGCAGGACTGAGACCAAAACCCACACTCCTAATCACTCCACTTCACAGACTCTTGGGTAAAGGTGAGAGCTGGAGACTAGAGGACAAGGTACAAGTGATTTAACTACAGTTGGCAGCATTGTGGATACATGTCAAACCAAAAAACAAAACTCACTGCCGTGGAGTCAGATCTGACTCATAGTGACCCTTCCTTGGGTTTCCGAGGTGGCATCACTACAAAAGTAGATTGCCCAACCTTCCTTCCGAGGAGCAGCTGGTGGGTTTGAACCACCAGCCTTCTGGTTAGCAGTCAAATGTCTTAGGCACTACACTACCAAAGCTCCCAGATACATGTCAACGACTTCCTAAAGGCTGGGAAAGAGACAAGCCTGAATCTGAACAGCTTTGCCCACAGGTGACATAAGAGAAGCTGCCTACAGGCAAGGGGTGGAGGTGTTTCCCTCTCCCGTTTTCTCTAGCCCTGGGCTCCCAAAAGCTGTGTTTGTCTGTAGTTTCCTTCTGACCACACCTCCATCTGGGGGTGGACTGGGAAGGGACCAGAGTGGTTTTTACCAGTGGGTTCTTGTAGTAGAGCAGCCTCCGCTCCTGAGGATCCAGGGCGAACCACCGTTTCTTGAAAGGTTCTCTCTGCTGCAAAAGAGGGAACCTCTTACCATGGACGCACAGCCGGGGCGCATGTGTGGAGGACAGAGGTCAGGAGGCCAGTCCAGACCAAGCCAGGGGAGTGGCCAGTCTGTGGTCTCCATCAGGGCCTCCGAAGCCTCAAGTCCCTCCTCTGGGCCAGGGCAGGGGCCATAGGCAGGGGCCCTGGGCTCTGAAGGTCTGCCCACCCTGCCACCACCACCAGTTGTGCCCTGCTGCCTCCAGATGGTTCCTTTAGTTGGAAGAGGTGCTTCCTCTTTTCTAGCCTGTGAACAAGAAGTCTCAGAAAATTCTCACCTAGGTCAGAGGAGAGAAAGCCAGGGGCAAAGACCACGGAGTAGGGGCGGAGAGCTGTGCCAATTGGCTGGTATGAAACCCAGTGTAAAATGTGCAAGCCTTTGATTAACTTTTCAACCTGAGGCTTTCTTTCATACTAACTCCCAACACCTTTCATCATAGACTTAACGATCACCATCATACTGTCAATATATTACACCTTTTACAAAATCATTGGAATGTTGCCACTTTTAGACCTACTTGGGAGCCCTGGTGGCTTAGTGCCTAAGGCATTTGACTGCCAATCAGAAGGCTGGCAGCTCAAACCCACCAGCCACTCCTCAGAAGGAAGGTTGGGCAATCTAC